ACGTCCTGGACGTTGGGTTCGTTGTGCCTGCCGACGCTTCGCCATGTTCTCGACAATTTGTTGCATGTTGTCCTCACGGTAGCGATTGGACTGAATTGCAATATCCTCCCACATGCGCTTGGGAAGGAAGAAGAGGAAGAGGCCGTACGGGTCGTCCCAGAGCAACGCAGCTTCGCGCGAAGGGCCACGATATCCAGAAAATTGCTTGTCCTCGTCCACTTCAACGTGGAACGGCGGTGCGCCGTCCGCGAGGATATTCCATCCGTCTTTGGTCATTTCTCGCAACTGAGCGTCATTCATTGAAAGCTCTGGTGGCGCACCAAGGTAGTGCAGCACATCCAGCGAGCGGACTTGAGCGGCGTCGAACGGCTCCTCATACAATACCTCAGCGACTTCGACGAGGTCATCTTCGGTGGCGCCCAAACCCTCACTCCCAAGTGGGTCGAACAGGGGGAATTCTGCCTCGTCGTCCTCGTCATAGACTTCATCCTCATCGGAATCCAGGGCGCAATCCACTGCAGGGTCAAAGTTGACGTCACGACATGTTGGATGAGGGGCCACCACACCGGCAGGAATAGCAGCAAGTATGTCCGCATGGTGTGAGGATTCTGCTGATGCAATCAAACGTTTCGCACCGGCGAGGACGTTTTTCCAACTCGTCGGTTGCTGTGGCGCGGTGGCGTTGTACTCGTTGTCACTGGAGCTGCTTGCATCCCATGGTGGCTCCTCAAAATCGACCGCAGAGTCCTCAGAGGGTATTGAGGAGGCTGGGGAAATGGCCAGAACGGGTTGTACAGCCTTCGAGAGACGCATGGGCTTTTTACCATTGCTACGAGTATGAACCATCCTCGGTCGTGGTAACGGAGGCTTCAAACGAGAACTTGGCGTACTCGGATTGCCAGTGAATCTGGAAGCCACGCCCACCCTTGGTTGCATCAACTGAGGACCAGTGGCTAACACGTCAAGGGCGAGAGATCCTTTCGGGGGAGGATCAGGGTGGACAACAAACTGAAACCCTTTTTCAGTCACTCTCCCATGAGGTTTCGTCTCCAACACGAAACATTGACACGAGCAAAACGACACCTCACCGAATGAGGTGAGAGGTGTTCCATTGATCGCGATTGTGCGGTATACATCAGACGCACACGAGATGTGCAATGGATGGCTACACCATGCACATGCTCGTTTGGGCTCCAGGTCAACGAGGAGGCACACTGCGCACAAGTCATCCGGCTCGTTGTTGGTTCGGTGTTGAGGTCGAATGGAACGTGAAGCGACGTCATCCTGGTCATCCTCCGCGAAGGTCAGCTGCCGTGATGTCCGAGGAATCTCATTGCTAGCCTGAAGTTGCACTAGAAGGGCCCTTTGTTCCTCAACAGATTCATTCGGCCATCGATCCCTGCGTGGATATCTTGGTTGCTCGGCCATGTTATCCAGTGCTGGTTTGAAATTTTGAAACCAAGTACTCCACGACGACGGCGTCGAGGCAGTATTTTTATTGTATTTTTTTCATTCTGGCCTGTCAAATGTGAGATGCCAGGACATCAAAATCATAATCTAGCCAATTAGAACAACGCACATGTTTCCATATGGGTTCACATCGTACGGATATAATTAATCAGATCAAGTCAAAATATGGCCGGGAGGGAGGGCAATTAGGAGGAGCAAAATCTCGAGTTTGGCCACTTGGTCGACAAAGACATAAGGAACGTCGCTTGAAATATACTGCAACCTACTTGATTGCAGGCGAAATATAACGAATACACAACGAAGGAAGTGGAACCGCCGCGAATTGTTTGTTCATTTCGCGAAAAAGTATGGTGAGGTCCTGAAATTAACCGAAAATAGGTGTAGTATAAATTATAGCTCAAGGTGACAATAATTGTTTGTCATCTTTCACGCTATATTTGAAGTTTTCGCCAAAATGCGTCTTTAATGTGCTGCTTCGTGGCTCAGAAATCACCGATCAACGCAAGAACATGGTAGCATGTACAGCAGCATTGATACTACGTAATAAAGCGGCATGGACAGTGTTACGATGCTTATTGCGGGGTATAATCACACCCAAAGTAAGCTATATTTCACTTTTTTGGCATGTTTGAGGTCACTTCGCGCATGCTAAATAAGTGCTATCGCCACACATCACGTCTCATTATATATCCTGCAGCCATCTCTTCAGTTTTCATATTACATGCATCACGCCCAGGCAAGCCGTTGCTGAGCAATTCAACGACAAAGTCATGTACTTTCTCGATAGTTAACATTGTCATAATTTATGACAAACATTGATGTTAACTTATGTTAACTTGATGCTATATTTCGATGTTATCTTTTTAAATTATTACATACTTATTTTTTATACGTAACGGTGTTCTCGTGGAATGTAGTGGATACTTTTCCAAAAAGCATCGTAACTGGCGGCCAAAATTTGAAGTCCATACGTATACGTTTTGAACAGCGGAATCGAATACAAAGTCGCCTTGCACTAACACTCGACTCCTTCGTCTAGACATACCTTCATCCTCGCTTATGTCGCCAAGGATGGCTATGTTCGTTATTTCCCGCAGCCTCCTGTGGAAATGAATTACCGCTGTAAATTTGTAGATGATTCCTTTGTAGGCTGGCCGACAGAGGGGGCGGAATGACCTCTGCATGTGTGTTCCTCCATGTGTAACGACATCAAGGCATTAGATAGATTTCGGAAACACTGCCGTAGACTTCCCTCGCACGGAAATTGGTAATTGTACAACAATGAGAACGCTGCACCACAGACACCAGTACGACGTCGTCGCTCACGATACACTAACCATGCTCATAGCCACGCAAGAAATACAAGCGCATCCCCTTGTCTGGAGTACTTCTACGGTCGTGCGGACCGAATGGAAGACATGGAAGTCGGCATGTAGCTAGCTGTTTGCTGCAAGTTTCGATGATTTTATCTGTTTTTTTCATGCCGTCGCGCATTTGATAATAAAATTTCATATTCGATCCAAATCACCTTCAAGCACGGCAGATTCGAAATGCTACTTGGCACATTGTTGGGTAGGGGAGCCTTTTCCATTGGTAGCATGGAAGTACATTTCAAACGGTGTTGCGGCACTACGTGTCAATTCTATTGGCCACAAGGCCAAATGAATGGACATGAATGGACACATCGCCCTTTCGAATAAGCGCCAAGTCAAGAACATTGAAAAAAGTCCCAAGTCAATAGAAAAAAGGTGTAGTACTTTAGCTGCAAAAAACTATCCCTACTGGGACCCATTGACGTCTGTGATTGTACATGTATACAGCAGTAAGATGTACTTAGCTAAAAAGTACGTAGCCACAGATTAAGTAGACTTTGGGTCACCAAGTCGCTCATATACGGTGGGGGTTGAGAAGTATGAGCTGGAGCTCCCCCTCAGCTGCAATGCCCCCCTCAGAAGTTATAAAGCTTACATGATTAGCACAGACTAAACTGTCTGTCCCGGTTGTTCCTCATACAATCAAACACCCACGTCGTATTGCAGCATGCGTCCAACCTTGTATTCCACTACACTACTCAAAGCAAGTTCCATCGCACATTTATGAGTTCAACCTTCTTCGCTAACTGTTACTGTATGAAAGGAGTACTAAAGTGATTGAATAGGTATTCAATGGTCACATTCACTGTTAATGCAAGTACTTGCAGTTTTATTTCCCTGCGCGTTCACATTCACCACAGTCAGATTGTTCTGTCAGTTCAATTGAGCTATGCTCAATGTTTAAACAATGCTCGGTATCCACACGAGTATTTTCACCGCAGCTAGCAGCAAGCTGGTGGGGGATTCAGTATATCTCACTCATGTGAAATGTCTAGATGAAATGTCTATCATTGTGTGTACTAACGAACGACGTTTCATGAAACCATCGAAGTCGAACAATACGATGGATCAACCGACAGTATCCATGTACCAGCATCATCATAACCAACCGTCGAACGATCATAATGCACTTCTCCTCCCATAGTTACACCGTTTCAACCGCCCAGAGCTTGGATTTCTGTTCAAGTCAATCACTTTTCAATTTGCCAGCAAACTCCCTCCCCATGCTTACTTGGACAGCGCTCTCAACTGCCGCGTCCGTCGGCCTCTTCCACGGCATCCACACCGCATGTGTCCATCGGTTGCAGTGGGCGGTTACACAACACCAATCGACAGATGGTCGAAAATGCCCTTTGGCCAGAAGCAACGCCCCCGTGGCGGACGTGGCCATGATTGCGGCCCAGTGCGCCTCCAGCACCGTCGGCCTCCTGCACGTCCTTCCGCTACTTCCACCTCTAGCTGAATATGTGGTGAACCCCCAGCATGTGTCCCTCAACTACACTCCAGAGGACCTGCATACGCTGTTCGTTGCAACGCTGCTCGTCGTGGGCGGTTACATTTGGTCGCTTCTCTTCGCTCCGAAGTCCATCACGTCCGTCCTCCACCACACGTTGCTTGTGGGTCTCATCGTTGCTGCCACGAGCTTCCAAGTGGCGGTACAAGTTGCTGCTGTCTACACCGTGTCCACGTTGCTCACCATGCAGCCCGTCTCTGTCGCGGACGCTCTCTTCCGCGCCAAGAGCTCATGGGCTCCCGCCATGCTGCGCACCGCGCTCGTGTACTATGGCGTCGTCAAGGCGGTGGCGGCCGTGGTGCTCTGGACAGTCCTGGCCGCCCAACCCACCGACCACTTGATCGTGCAGGGACTCGTCGTGTGGATCCTGTCGATTATCCAGGTGCTCAACTTTATCCGGATGGCGAACCACTACGCCATCGCGCGGACATGGCAACCGGACGAGTGCGCCACGTCCGACGCGATCATCGCCACCGCCCTCGGGGTTTCCAACTCCAAGTCCCTCAAACATTAACCGTCCTATACAACACTGTAGTAGGGTTAACCACACGATCAATATATATATATATACATATATTAAAAAAATACATCTTCAAAAAAGAAATATTCAAAATACAACTGTTATCTTCGGATGTCTGTATTATTATCCTCCTCTAACGTTACATTTCAGGTATGTAGTAGGCTGTAAAACCAGTTTGCATGATGTATCGTGAGATTAACGGCGAGTCAGGATAAAACTAGGAATCAAACGAAATCAGTCATATTCTTGTCAGTGAAAATAGCCGCTGAACAATTAAATAACGTTATCCAATCATTTCCAAAAGACCACCAGATTTCCAAAATGTAGCAGCATCTTGTCATTTATCGAGTAATTGAGTAATTTACCACTAGTTTCTTCCTACCCCGAAACTCCGAAACCCCGAAACCCTGAACTGCACTTTTGCAATTACACTAAGTGCTAAAGCCGCCACTTCAGCACTTGCGATGGTGCCACCACGACGTCTTGCGCCACCGCCCGCGCAACCACGTGATCACATCGACAGGGAGGTGTACGGCACCGCCACGGGCTGGATGGTGGAATGAGAGATGACCAATTTCATTGGGTTAGTAGGTAAGTGGTGAAATGAGATCTGTTAGAATTGACCGAGTCCTGAATACTACATCACATGATCTTGCTATCATACACAGCCTACAATTATCTCAAGGCTCCTTCAACTGCCATCACAGGAGTAGAATATATCGCAACATGGCGTGATGAATCTAAGCAGCGATTTTCGTGAATTCACCGCATCTGATTGGACAAAATTGGACAATTTTGAATTCGCTAGGTGACCTGCCTTACGAATTCCAAAAAGAGACAGACACATGAAAAATAAAAATCATCAATACAAACTTGAAGATATATTTAATTGAAACTATACAATTTCAGAATTATTTATGGAATTCGCAAGGTGGTTCACCTTGCGCTGCATACAAAATTGCCTATTTCACCTTGCTTTTTCTGGTTAATATACATCTTTTGATCAGCATGGCGCTTCCTGAATAGGTTTGGCAGTAAATTTGGAAATTCGGCGGTCTGAAACCAAATATCCAGATATTTCCACGTCGGACACTATCTAATTATCATGGACACTATTTCGGATCGAAGTACCTCGATATTGTGAATAGCACAGTTTTTGCTCAAGACACGAATGACTGATTTTGGGGCCTAGTACTCCGAGTAACACTGTAAGAGCATCTCCAACGGTGTCTTTATTTCTATTTCAATTCGAAGTTTCGGATATAGAATAGAAACGCTTCAACTATGCGGAGGGTTTGTTGCTATTTACGCGAAAATAGAAATTCTGCTGGACGTAATTTCTAAAATGTCCGGATAATGCCAAACTAGCAACTGTAAAAACGAAGTTTGACTTTAACCTATGCTTTAGGGCGACTTTTGTGTCAGCGGTTTTTGGAAAAGTAGCCAATCAAAATCGTTTCCATCGGCTTTTGCAAAAACCGCTCTGGACGACCTCGTTGAGGTCGTTTACAGCGACTTTTGGGATTGTGGCTATTTCTTGGGCAAAAATATCAGAATAAATTGTTGGTTGCAAACCAAAATTTCGCAGGAGCACGCCCAAAGCACACCCTTGTCGGTTGCCGGTGGCTCGTTACTCCACTCCGGTGTGTACTGGTAGGTCCTCGACGGGATAACTTTACCCATGTGAAGCACGGCTGTGGTAAGTCATTTCCATGTCGAGGGTAGCTGCACACAGAACGCATCGAACGCTGTACACATGCCCCTCCCGCGCGACCTCCTATTTGTACTGAACCCTAGGCTCTGTGTATTGTAAACTGATTTCAGATTAGCTAGGCGTTGATCTTATGGGTTGCGCATGCCTAGAGTTAGCAGTGATGACTGCACGACTCCTTCGGGAAGGAGAAGGAGTCGTGCAGACGCACAATC